GAAGCTCCCAGCCTGTTTTTTCTTTCTTTCTTTTTTTATTCTGGGATTTATTTACCTTCTATAGCTGTCACTGGAGCTGAGAGCCGGCTCCAGCTCTGAGGCTTGGCTCCAGCTCTGAGGTCTTGGCTGGCTGAAAGCAGGTATCTGGGTTTGTTTAGCTTCTATAAATTGAAACTCTGTTACCATCATTGGCGCTCTAAGCTCTGAGCCCAGTGCCGGCTGAAAGCAGGTATTCTAGGTTTGTTTAGCTTCTATAATGGCAACATTGTTGCATCCGGAGCTCAGAGCTGGACTGCGGCAGGCGGGGAACCTTGGCTTCCTCCCTCACTGGAGCAAGCAAGCCTGATGTTCGCACAGCTGCCTGGCTGCTGGCCGCCATCTTTGTTGGCAGTTAATTTGCATATCACCCTGATTAGCCAATGGGAAGCGTAGCAGAGGTATGGTTAATTACCATGTTTGTCTATTATTAGATAGGATATCCAATTAAAAGATAATGTTATAATAACTCCAGAAAACAAGAAATGCCATCAGCCCTAGCTGGTTTGGCCTAGTGGATAAAGCGTCAGCCTGCGGACTGAAGGGTCCTGGGTTCTATCCCAGTCAAGGGCACATGCCCAGGTTGTAGGCTCGATCCCCAGTGGGGGATGTGCAGAAGGCAGCCAATCAATGATTCTCTCTCATCACTGATGTTTCTATCTCTCTCTCCTCCCTTCCTTTCTGAAATCAATAAAAATGTATTTTTAAAAAAAGAAATGCCATTGCTAAACTATATGTTCTTAGGAATCATTGAAAGATATTTAGAAATCAAATTAAATCAGATCTAAAAACAAACACACACATACAGAGAGAGAGAGAGAGAGAGAGAGAGAGAGAGAGAGAGAGAAACCGATCACATCCTAAAATAAGAAACCCACAGCAGATTCAGGAGTGGATTGTGGCAGCTCCAAGGTCAGAATCAACAAGCAGCAGAAAGGGGCCTATAGTGATGGTTAATTAGAGAACTGCAGTCAGAACAGTTGGATCAGTTGGGCCCTCCTTTCTCCTTTAGTTGTCAAAACAGAAGGCAGCTGTAGTATCTGCTGAGAGTGAGTGCACCAGCACCAGAATGGCAAACAGTGCCCCCAGAGGCTACTGATCCCCTGGGGGAATGGGAAACACAGTCAAGACAAACCAGTGACACATCCCAACAATCCATGCTTCTTCCCCTACTCCAATAACTAGAGGCAGGCTACCATGCCAGAAAGTATGTTACCCACATTCATGTACTATTTAATCCATCAAACATAGCTCAAGAGGCATTTCCATGGTTAAGCCTTCCCTACAGCTACCTCTGGGCAAAGTAACTGATACCTATTGTGTGCCCAGGTGCCTTGGCCCACCACTTAATCACACTGGGTTAAAATCAATAATATGTAGATTATGGACTCCTAAACTAGGACTCTGCCTTATTTATCTTTGTTTCCCAGAACCTAGCACTATGTGTGCCTATAAAAAGAAGGAGCCTGATAACCTGGACTCAAAGGAATTGCACCTTAATACCAGACAGATTTGTTAGACTGAATGGCAGGCTGAAATGTTGATAGTTAAAACTCTGATTACCTTGACACCTGGTTGAAGAGGCTCTAAGGGAGAGCCTGGAACAGGGTGCAGTGGGACGATTGTTCCAAATGAACTCTCTCCTGTAAAAAGAAGACCAAGTCAAGCCAAAAAAGGAAGGGCTAGGCAAAGATAAATGTGCTCATCTTTTCATCAAATTCCTCAAATTCAACGAGGTTGATTTTTTTTCATTTCACTGGAGTTAAATTTTATGAAGCTTGTTATATCTGCTTTTGAGCGAATCATACATCTCACCTTCCACTAAAGGAAGCAGGTCCACCACAGCTTGACCAAGGACTAAGGTCTTCTCATCTTTCTGCTTCTTTTCCTTTGGTAAAACTTCAGTCATAGTCACTAGGAAAATCAAAACAAAGAAATGAGAACATGTCTAGCTCATCTATCAGATAACTGAGATGCAATAAACAGTGCATTATCAAAGAAATTTAAGAGAAATGAATGTGATATCCAAGAAGGCACCATTATTGGTGGAAAACACTAGACCACCTTAGCGATTTTTTTCTGTGACAACTCTGTAATTTTAAAAAAAGTTATAGCCCTAACCGGTTTGGCTCAGTGGATAAGAGTGTTGGCCTGCGGACTCAAGGGTCCCAGGTTCGATTCTGGTAAAGGGCATGTACCTTGGTTGCAGGCACATCCCCAGTGGGGAGTGTGCAGGAGGCAGCTGATCAATGTTTCTCTCTCATTGATGTTTCTAACTCTCTATCCCTCTCCCTTCCTCTCTGTAAAAAACCAATAAAATATATATTTTTAAAAAGTTATATATATATATAGGAAATGACATCTTTATAATGTTGAGCATGCCTGCCTAAGAACATGGTACTTCTTTTCTTTTATTCAACCTTATGTCTCTCAATAGCATTTTCTTTAGAGTTTGCTTATAAGGCTCACACATTGAAATTAATTAATGTCCCTTAAGTTTCTTTTACTCCATAAGTTCCCCTTCAACTTCATTGGATTTTTTCCATTTTTATTTCTCTAAGAAATTGTCCATTTTATCTAAGTTTTCAAAAGCAATAGCAGAATATTCTTTTATGTCTTTTTAAAATTGTGGTAAAATACACATTACATAAAATTTACCTTCACAACCACTTTTAAATGCGCAGTCCAGTGGTATTAAAAACATATCACTACCATCCATCTCCAAAACTTCTATACTCACTAAACAACTACTCGCCATCCTCCTCTTCCCCTGGCAACCACGATGGTACTTCCTGTCCATATGTATTTGACCACTCTAAGTACCTCCTATAAGTGGAATTACAAAGTACTTGCCTTTTTTATGACTGACATTTCATTTAGTACAATGTCCTCAAATTAATCAATTAATACAATGTTGCAGCATGTTAGAATTTCCTTTTTTTTAAAAATATATTTTATTCGTTTTTTACAGAGAGGAAGGGAGAGAGATAGAGAGATAGAAACATTGATGAGAGAGAAACATCGATCAGCTGCCCCCTGCACATCTTCCACTGGGCATGTGCCCGCAACCAAGGTACATGCCCTTGACCGGAATCGAACCTGGGACCCCTCAGTCCGCAGGCCGATGCTCCATCCACTGAGCCAAACCGGTTTCAGCAGAATTTCCTTTTTGTTATGACTAATATTCCATTGTACGCATTTACCACATCTTGCTTATCCATTCATCCACTGATGGACACCTGGGCTGCTTCCACGTTTTACTTTTTGTGAATAATACTGCTATGAACACAAGTTTAAAATATCTCTTTGAGAACTGCTTTCAGTTCTTTTGTATATATTCTCAGAAGTGGAATCACTAGGTCATAGGGTAATTCTATTTTTAACTTTTTGAGGAACCACCATTACTGAACTGTTTTACAGTCCCGCCAAAAGTACACAAGGGTTCCAATCTGTCCACATCCTTACCCAAACTTGTTTTTTGTGTTGTTGTTTTTATAGAAGCCCTCCTAATGTGTACGTGGGGGTATGAGTTTTCATTTCCCTAATAATTAGTGATATTGAGCATATTTTTATGTGCTTTATGGCCATTTGTAGATTTTTTTTGGAGAAATATCTATTCAAGTCCTTTGCCCATTTTTTAATCAGGTTGTTTTTTTTGCTGTTGAGTTTTAGGATTTCTCTATATATTCTGGATATTAATCCCTTATCAGCTATATAACTGGCAAATATTTTCTCCCATTCTGCGGGTTGCTTTTTTACTTTTTTACTCTGTGAATAGTGTCTTTTGATGCAAAAAAAAAGTTTTTAATTTTTTAAATTGATTTTAAAGAGAGGAAGGGAGAGAAAGAGAAACATAATGATGCCAGAGAATCGTCGATCGGCTGCCTCATGCATGCCCCATAGTGGGGATCAAGCCTGTAACCCGGGCATATTTCCTGGCTGGGAATCAAACTTTGGCCTCCTGGTTCATGGGTTGATGCTTAACCACTGAGCCACACAAACTGGGCTGGTGCACAAATTTTTTTAAAGTTTCATTAAGTGTAACTTCTTTATTTTTTTCCTTTGTTATCCTGTGTCTTTGGTATCATATCCAATAATTTATTGTCAAATTTAATGTCATGAAATTTTGTCCTATATCTTCTTAGGACTCACATTTGGGTTTTTGACTCAATTTGAGGTAATTTTTTAAATCAGGTGTTAAGTATGGGTCCAACTTCATTCTTTTGCATGTGGATATCCAGTTATCCTAGCACCACTTGTTGAAAAGACTGTCCTTTCCCCCACTGAATGATCTTGGCACCCTTATAAAAAATGATTTGAGCATTACATGTGAGAGTTTATTTCTGAGCTCTCTATTCTATTTCGTTGTTATATATGTTTATCTTTATGCCAATACCACACTGTTTTGGTTACTGTAAATCTGTAATAAGTTTTGAAATCAGAAAGTGTGAAACCTCCAATTTTTCAAGGTTGTTTTGGCTATTTGGAGTCTCTTGAAATTCCATATGACTTTTAGGATGGGTTTTTCAATTTCTGAAAAAAAAAATAACATTGACATTTTTATAGGAAAATTGCACTGAATCCATATATTTCTTTGAGTAATATATGATGCAGCCACAGCCTCGGACACAGGGCGGCTTTCTGCGGCCGCACCAGGCCCCGCTCTGTCAGGCCCTCTGCCCGTGGGCTCTGTTTTTATAAATATATTTTTATTGATTTCAGAGAGGAAGGGGGAGATGGAAACATCAATGGTGAGAGAGAATCATTGTTCTGTGTTTCCCATTCCTACGACATGTCCACCACTGGGGATCAAGTCCCCAACAGGGGTATGTGACCTGACCAGGAATCAAAGAACCATGACCCCTGGTTCATAGTTGACGCTCAACCACTGAGCCACGGGGGTCGGCCAATATTAACATTTTAATAATATTAAGTCTTTCAATCCATGAACATAGAATGTTTTTCATTTATTTGCACCCTGGCCAGAGCTCAGACTGGGGAGGAGCCTGCAACAGAGGTATGTGCCCTTGACTGGAATTGAACCAGGACCCTTCGGCCTGCAGGCCGTCGCTCTATCCACTGAGCCAAACCAGCTAGGGCATGTTCTTCGTTTTCTACATCCTTAAGTTGAAAAGTTAGATTGTTGAGATCTTTCTTGTTTCTTAATGTTAGCATTTTGAGATAGCAATGTCCTCCTTAGTGCCACTTTTGCTACATCTCCTAAGTTTTGGTATGTTGTGTTTCCATTTTATAACTTTCTTTGTGATTTCTTCTTTAAACCATTTGTTTAAAAGTGTGTTAATTTTCATAATTTTGTGAATGTTTCAGTTTTCTATTGTTATTGATTTCTAACTTCATGACACTGTGTTTGTAGAAGATACTTTGTAAGTTATCTTTTTAAATGTATTAAGACTTAATATGTGGCCCAACATATGGTCTGTACTTGAAACATCCCACGTGCACTTGAGTGTGTATTCTGTGCTTGTTGGGTAAAGTGTTCTGAATGTCATTTAGATCTAAGTAGTTTATTGTATTGTTTAAGTCCCCTATTTCTTTACTTATCTTCTATCTGGTTGTTCTATCCATTACTATGAGTGGGCTATCTGAAGTCCCCAGCTACTGTTGTAATACTATCCATTTCTCCCTTCAATTCTGTCAGTTTTTGCTTTATATATTTTAACTAGAGGCCTGTTGCATGAAATTTGTGCATGGAGTTGGGGGGGGGGTCCCTCAGTCCAGCCTGAACCCTCTTGCAATTTGGGATGACTGGCTCCTAACCACTTGCCTGCCTGCCTGACCCCTAACTACTCACTTGCCTGATCACCCCTAACCACTCTGCCTGCTTACCTGATCTCCCCTGCTTGTCTGCCTGCCTGATCGCCCCTAACCACTCACCTGCCTGCTTGATCACCCCTAACTGCTCACCTGCCTGCCTGATCATGCCTAACTGCCTCTGCTTTGGCCCCCAGCGCTGCGGCTTTGTCCAGAAGGACGTCTGGAATGACATCTGAAGGTCGTTCAGCTGTCCGGTCTAATTAGCATATTACACTTTTATTATTATAGATGGTCTGTCATTAGGTACATAAGTATTTATAAATATTTTATTTTCTTGCTGCATTGAATCTTTTGTTAATATATAATGTCTTATTTTAACTTATAACCTTTTTTATCTTAAGTTAATTTTGTCTGATATTAGCATAGCCACACCTGTTCTCTTTTGATTACTATTTGCATGAAATATCTTTTTCACCCTTTCATTTTCAACCTGATTGTGTCTTTAGATCTAAAGCGAGTCTCTTCTAGACAGCATATAGTTGGATCCTATGTTTTTACCCATGCTGCCAATCTTTGTCTTTTGATTGTACAGTTTAATCAATTTATACCTAAATTATTTATAAGATTAATTAATTAATGGTGTTATTGTGCTATTTGTTTTGTTTTTTTTATGCCTCATAACACTCTGGCCCCTCATTTCCTGCATTACTGTGTTCTTTTGTGTTTAGATGTTTCTTTTTTTAAATGACATGTTTAAATTCCTTTCTCATTTTCTTTGTGTATATTCTATAGCTGTTTTCTTTGGGGCTACCATGAATATTACATTTAGCATCCTAAAGTTACAACACTCTAATTTGAATTTATAGCAGCTTAATTTTAATAAAATATAGAAACTGCTTTTTTAGCAAAATTGTTGAAGAAGACATACCTCATGATTTCTCCATCGCAAAAACAAAAACAAAAACTGGCATCCATCCACAGGCAACAGTCCCTTGTAGGAGCTCTGGGATCCAATACCACATGCCAAAAAACTCAGGAGTTTCACATACCCATGTGTCAGGTATTAGGCAGACTTACGTCCCAGCTGTGGACCCTGCAGTGGCCCACGAATCAGCTCCAGCCACACTCACCTGGAGTCCAGGAATCCCTGGAAACTCCTGCCGTAAACAATCACCCACAGATGAGAGAACCTTTGTACAGGTTCCCAATAGAGAAGTTCCAGCATACCACTGGAGCAAAAAATAAAAAATAAAAAAAATAAAGGGGAGGAGAGGGAAGGAGAGGGGAGGGGAGAGTTTGCGTGCATTGGAGAAGGTAAGAGCTGCACTTTGACTTTAGCTGCATCCCCATCCCCAAAGCAGCACAGCTCAGAGCCAACAGAGATCTTCTTTGCCCATGATTGCTCCTATGGAGGACAGTTAGAGTGTGTGAAAGAGCACCCATTTCCCCATCTATACAGGATGCTGCCACATGGGCCAATTTCTCTCTTGTCCCATCCAGACTACTAAATATGAGCTGCATCACCCGGGGTGGAGGTAGGGAGGGAGGGAGGAAGAATCTGGGAGAGTGGCAGATAGGATGCCTAGAGAACATTAAAGAGATATGGATCCTACAAATTGTACCATGGACTCCATCAGGAAGCCCATCCACCAGCTGTGTGGGGTGCCTTGCCTTTGGATCCCAAAACTAGCCCATGGGCACCCTCATTATTCCATGTGCCACACACACACACCCTCCATGCAGTGGCTGGCTCCCTATGAGCTCCTCTTTCGGTTTTTAATATATTTGTTATTGATTTCAGAGAGGAACAGAGAGGGAGAAACATCAATGATGAGAGAGAATCATTGATCGGCTGCCTCCTGCTCGCCCCCTACTGGGGATGGAGCCCGCAACCCGGGCATGTGCCCTTGACTAGAATCAAACCTGGGGACCTTTAGTCCGCAGACCGATACTCTATCCACAGAACCAAACCAGCTAGGGCCCTATGAGCTCTCTTGATAGCAGCTGCAAGAGTAAGCTATGGCAGATGGTTAGTAAGCTCATGTAAAAAGCTGGTCTGAATCTGTGGGCAAGGGGGAGATACCACAAACTTGAACTTTAGCACTGCTCTTTTTAGAAAACAAAAGGGGATAGGGGCTGACAGCCCTCAGCCTGGTGGTTTGCATTATCCAGAGAATGCATACAGCCCGGCCCGTTGTAGCTCAGTGGTTGAGCATCAACCCATGAACCGGATCACAGTACAATTCCAGGTCAGGGCGCATACATGGGTTCTGGGCTTGACCTGGGTTGGGGGCATGCAGGAGGCAGCTGATCAATGACTCTCTCTCATCATTGCTGTTTCCATTTCTTTATCCCTCTCCTTTCCTCTCTCTGAAATCAATAAAGATATATTGAGAGAGAGAGAGAGAGAGAATCCAAACACATTTAAAAATTCTGCCACAAGAGGGTGCAAGAAGCATGTATAGCCATAGAAGGTCTGCGAAAGCCTCAGAATCCCTAGCAGGGCAAATGGAAGGTATTTCAGTCTCCTAACGGCAGTAAGCAATGACTGGAGGAAGTGACTGCCACTTCAAATGCGAAGACTGCAATGCAAAACTGCAAGGAATATAAAAGAAAATCAAAGAAAAATGAAACCACAAAAGGATCACAGTAATCTTCCAGGAATTGACCCCAAACACGTAGATCTGTGTATTACCCAATAAATAATTCAAAATACAAATTTTAAGGGAACTCAATGAGTTAAAGGAAAACACAGAAAGACAATTCAAAGAAACCCAGAGAAGAAAGCATGAAAATAAGTTTGACAAAGACATAGAAATCATAAAAGAACTAAACAGCCCAGCAAGCATGGCTCAGTGGGTGAGCGTTGACCTGTGAACCAGGAGGTCACGGTTTGATTCCAGGTCAAGACATAAGCCTGGTTGCAGGCTTGATCCCCAGTGGAGGGTGTGCAGGGGGCAGCTGATCAATGATTCTGTCATCATTGATGTTTCTATCTCTCTCCCCCTCTCCCTTCCTCTCTAAAATCAATAAATAAATATATATATATCCTAACAAATTCTAGAGCTGGAGAGTACAATGAATAAAATGAAAAATGCAATAGACAGCACCAACAGAAGAATGAATCAAGCAGAAGAAAGAATCTGTGAGTTAGAATACAGGAACGTTGAAATTATCCAGTTAGAGAAGAACAAAGATTAAAAAATGAAAAAGAGTAAAGAAAGCCTATGTAATCATGGGATACCATCAAAAGAAATAATTTGTAAAATATTGGAGTTACAGAAGAGAGTGAGAAAGGGGAAAGACAGGTATTTTTTTAATATATTTTATTGATTTTTTACAGAAAGGAAGGGAGAGAGATAGAGCGTTAGAAACATCGATGAGAGAGAAACATTGATCAGCTGCCTCCTGCACATCTCCTACCAGGGATGTGCCCACAACCCAGGTACATGCCCTTGACCGGAACCTGGGACCTTTCAGTCCGCAGGCGGACGCTCTATCCACTGAGCCAAACCGGTTTCGGCAAGACAGGTTATTAAAAGAAGTAATGGCTTAGAACTTTCCAAATTAGGGAAACAATTTGAATATTCCAGTTCATAAACCTCACATGTCACAAAAGAAACTCAAAAAGATCTCTCCAAGATACACCACAATAAAACTGTCAAAAATCAAAGACAAAGAGGTATCTTAAAAGTAGCTAGAGAAAAGAAGCTTGTAGAATTCTCCAGTGAAACTGTCTGGTTCTGGAGAATTCTAATTATGAATTCAATTTCCTTAATAGTTATAGGCCAACTTTATTTCATATAGGATGAGTTGTGGTTAGCGGGTTTTACTTAAACCGTCTCTTTTAGCTGGTTTTTTTGGTTTTTTTTACAGCACTCCAACAGAGGAACAGGAGGGGCACTGCCTCATTATTGCCAGGTGGAGATAGAAGTATAGGTTCCCCACTCAGCCTCCATACCTGAGGGGGAGAGCTCCTCTTTACTGCTGAGGGGGAATGGGAGTTCTGGTTTCTTGCTGTTCTCCACTGATACCACAGTGGTGTAGACTCATTACCACTAGTATATATATATGTAGTGTTCAGTGAAAGGTCTTGACCGACACTATGTCTCCTATGACACCATCCTGGTGGGGAACAGAGGAGCACCTTGTACTACCAGACTGGGGGAGAAGTCTAGATTCTCCATGTGCTCTCCACTAAAACCACATGGTGGAAGAGGGAGCTCATTACCAGAGGGCATAAAAGTCCTAGCTCCCTACTGGATCTTTTCTGACACCACCTAGCTAGGGTATTGGGGCACCTAATTTTCAGCTTTATGAGAGTGTAAGTCTAGGTTCCCCACTTAGATTGGAGGTGGATGGGACCACAGTTTCTTTCTGTGACATTTGGCTGGAGTGGAGCAGTTGCTGTCTAAAAGTTTTCTGTCTTTCTAGACGGCCCCTTTCCTGGTCTTTTGTTAGAGGCAGCAGATTTTTGTTGGACTTTTGGGTTTGCACCATTAGGGTTTCCAGGTTGCTGGCTTCTTCAGCCTCAAATCTGGGACATATAAGCAAAAAGAAAACCCGAGGACCTCCCCACTGTGTAATTTCTCAGGTCTCAAATTTCCTTCTCTCCACCTTCCAGTCTCTCCTGTTCGTTTTATATATAATGTCTAAGATTTGTAGCTGTACTTAGTGAGAGGAACAGGAAAAAGTATGTCTATTCCATCTTCTTGGAGATACAATTTCTGTTTTAAATCCTTTTGATTTCTAATGACTGCATTTAAGATTATACAGTAGTCCCCCTTATCCACGGTTTCATGTTCTATGATTTCAGTGACCCAAGGTCAACCACAGTCTGAAAATATTAAATGAAAATTTCCAGAAACAATGAGTTTTCAATTTCATACCATTCTGAATAGCATAATGAAATCTCGTGCCATCCCACTCTGTCCCACTCAAGATGGGAACCATCCCTTTGTCCAGCCTGTCCACATTGTGTATGCCACCTGCCCAATAGGCACTTATTAGCCACCTCCATAACGTAACAACTATATCAGAGTATCACAGTACCTGCTTTAAGAAACCATTATTTCACATAACTTTTATTACAGTATATTGTTACAATTCTCCATTTTAATATTAGTTATTGCTGTTAATCTCTTTCTGTGACAATTTATAAAGTGTATCAAGTATGTATGCATAGAGAAAAGCATAGTATATATAGTGTTCAGTACTATCTGAGGTTTCAGGTACCACTGGGGGTCTTGGATAAGGACAGACTACTGTATCTCAGTAAGCACTATGTCAGTTAAATCCCACAAGATTTGGTATTTACTATTGATTCTAAATGTTTTACAGTTTTTATTATTTTTTTAATTTTTCCTATGAATTATTCGTGTGTCTTAATTTTTCCTAATGGATTCTTTTTTTATCTTTTCGTTATTGATTTCTAATGTTGATGGTTGTATTCTGATCAGAACACGTGGTCTGTATGCTACTGATAATACTGTGTAGTTAGAAATTGTAGCAGTATGAATAAGGAACCCATTCATCCATTTACTCAGTCATTCATTCAACAAATACTTTTTTAGCTCTTTTATGTTCCAGATATTTCTAGGCAGTAGAAATTCTGAAATAAACAAGATCCAGGCCAGATTTCAAAAACTGCCTCCTCTAGCAAGGGAGGCAAATTAACAACAATATGGTGAGTATACAGAAGTATGGTGAGTATACATAAGTATAGATAAGGTTGCCAAGTAAAATACAAGATGCCCATTAAAATTTTTGAATTTCAGATAAACAATGAATAATTTTTTTAGTATAAGTATGTCCCAATTTTGTTTGTTTTTTTAAATCTGGCAACCCTAAAGACAAGAATACAAAAGAAAAGCTCCTAACTCAGCTTAGGAGATAAGGGCTGCAAAGTTTAGTCATATAGCAATAGGTCTTGGATATAAACTCGCTAAAACTAGTAGGTCAGAACCAGAGCAGGTAGCTCTCAAAGTATACCATGTTATACCTAGATTAAAAAGGTAAGGTGTCCATCTGTCCCAACAACAGCTACTATACACCTCAGAATCTCCTCATAACATACTCATATAATTAACATTTTTACAGCCACAAAGACTTACAGAACACAGGTTTGTGGGCGAGGTCATCTAAAGTGATTCCTCCTTCAGGATTGAACTCAAAACTGCAAGTGAAGTTGTATTTTGCAGTTCCTTCTGAAGAAACAGTAATTTTTGCAGAGTCTCCCAGAACTGCCTGATTAAATTCTGCACGAATAAAGGTAACTGGGGTATCTCCTTTAGAACCTTTCTGTTGACAGAAACATACTACTTTACAATTATACTCAAATAGAGAATTTTTCTACACATCTGGCAACCCATTTTTACTTGTACTAAATAGCATTTTCCATGTTCCCGTATCAAGCTATATTACAAATACAAAAGAAGTAGGTAGGAAGTCATTAAACAAATCTAACTGTAGTATTTAAATGCCAACATTGTATTTAAATGCCATTATGTTGAAGTTTTTAAAAAAAACACTCATTATGTTTATAAAATTATATTGTAGAACATGTGGAAAAGTGAGAAAAGCACATAAAAAATAAATTACCTGTAATCTCTAATATGCAAGCACCATTAACATTTTCAAATATTTTTCTAGTGTTTTGTTGTGAATACGTATGTGTATTTCCCTGTGTGTGTGTATATATGCACACATATTTATGTATGCCTTTTAAAACAATGTAGAGGACATATATTACATCCTGCTTGGAAAGAGCTTTTTTACTTAATACTGAATATTTTGCCATTTCATTAGTATTATAATTTTTAGTAGTTATATCATATTGTAGTTTTATTATTTAAATTCATCAAAAGAAATTAATCATAAAGGAAACTCTGGAAGACTTCAGATCCTTTTCAGGAAAAGGGGATGAATTGCTGTCTAGGAAAACAAAAACGACTTCTTATTTTACCTGTTAAATTTAATTTTCAAATTGCCAGGCATTTTATACACACAGTAATCTGAACTGCTGATTCTGGACTACCCATGAGCAACAACGAGAAGGAAGGGCCATTGCTATGTAAAGCCAGTAGATTTGGTGGTACAGGATGATGCAGAACTCCATTCCTTCCCGTTGTGCTCCCAACACAGCTTCCCCAACCCACAGATTTTTGACAGAGAGATCTGAGCTAAAGACAAGTATACTTTCAAGAAGTATGAATAAACTATGGATTTCTCAGATTTCCAAAAATAACTTTACCAGTTCATATCCACCTATCACAGTGATCTGCACAGGCCTGCCTGCTGATGCGATCTGCTCCATATCAGCACTTGAACAAAGTCCCTCTGGTCTTCTTTGGTCCCTGCAAACATAATGAATGAACCTGTCCCCTCATGTCCTGTCGCTGCATAAGTACTCACATTACTCATAACCAGCACCAGGGGGAACTGAGGGAACTGCAATAGTCCAGCACTGTCCTGTGGCCTTTCCAACCTTTGCTGCTAGACAGGCAGGGCTTTAGGAAGCTGGTCACAAGGATGATTCCACTGATTAGTGCTAAAAAGATCCTTATACACGTAACTTACCCATTAAGCACAAATTATCACAAGACAGAGAGGGCAGAATGCCATCTCCCAACTCCCATTCCCCAAATCCTCCATAGTGTTCTTTGGTAGCTTTTATTTTAATGTGCAAAACTACACTTGAAGGTTATTTAATGTCTGATATATATATATCTATATATCTATATATCTATATAGATATATAGATATATAGATATAGAGAGAGAGAGATA